ATTTCTCAAAAGCTTTCTTATATTGCTGTCCTGTTACAGTTTCCAAAGAGGTACCCATAGGCCATGCAGTATCCCTGAGTCACCATTTGCTTCTTTTGTGATCTAGCAATTCATACACTAAATTTGTGATATAGATTTTGTATAGAAGTTATAATACCACTAAATTGTGACATTTTTTCTATCGTACAGTACTACAAATAAGTTAGCATTCAACACTTTTGTCTTCAGGTAATAAGCATCAGACTTGTTCAAATCCATTATTATATCATTATGAAATACATGTTTGTCCATTCTACAGAAAGGAAAAAAGTCACTTCTGAGGCTTCATGTGCCTTTAACTAGAAATTAGGAAAAAATACTCGCTTAAAACCCAACAAAATATAAAACAACTGCAACGATAACGAATGAAGAAGAAAAACAAATAAAGAAGAAGAAGAAGAAGAAGAAGAAGAAGAAGAAGAGGAAGAAGAAGAAGAGAAGAAGAAGAAGAAGAAAAAGAAGAAGAAGAAGAAGAAGAAAAAGAAAAAGAAGAAAAGAGGAAGAAGAAGAAGAAGAGGAAGAAGAAGAAAAAGAAGAAGAAGAAGAAGGAAAGAAAAAGCAGGGAAGAAGAAGAAGAAGAGGAAGAAGAAGAAGAAGAGAAAAAGAAGAAGAAGAAGAAGAAGAAGAAGAAGAAGAAGAAGAAGAAGAAGAAGAAGAAGAAAGTAACTAAAAAAAAATTTCTCAAAATTTATAATATAAAATATTCTTACATTTTATCCTCTATTTTAAATGTTTTCCCTTACATTCACTATCGTAGTCCTTTACGAAATAAGGAAAATCCTACAAAACCTCAAACATGTATATTGTCGTCTGCTCATATAAAGATGAAACTTGAGTAAACAATCGCGATTATTTATTTATTATATCAATTAACTAACACTTGATTCACTTCCGGTGAAACAGCCGGTGAAACAATCGCCTACATATGACGTGACACTTTCCCTGTACTTTTCCTCAACGAATCAACATCAATAATTAAGTCCTTATACTTTGTTAGTCAGATGACACCGTTTTAAGAATAGAGTTTTAAGTGTTTTAAGGAGACTGATAATTGTTTATTGTAACTTTACTCTTGTACAACAGTTTTTTTCTGAGTAATACTAGGAAAACACTGTTCGATTCATCATTTTTCCAAGTTCTATTTTTATAGTGGTATATAGAAATGAGCAAGCAGGCTCTATAAATATTATTCCATTTGTTGTCAGACATCCAAGTTTGAAGATGTTTTCTGCGTGCTAGAATGTTTTGAAATTTTAATAAAATAACAGGAAGTTGACTTTAGTTCACAATGATTGACTTATTTTTCATTTTCAGTATCACGACATTAATAATCAATACTTATTGATTTATAGGTCAATACACATTGATTTCTGGACAAACATTCATTGATTGATTGGTCAATGCACATTGACTTCGGGACCGACAATAATCGACTTTCTGGTTAATGAAAATTGATTTTTGGACCAACATACATTGATTTATTGGCCAATGTACATTTATTTCTTGACCAAAATACATTGATTTATAGATCATCATACATTGAGATTGATTTACGGACCAACTTACAATTATTACACTAACTTTTTCCAGATATTTATAGGTCAACATATTACTTATCTGTACGTGATCACAAATCCTAGCTTTTGACAAAATTACACCTTACATATAATAGTTAATATTTCATTTCTGGTTATCATTTGCGTAGTTTTAAAGTATGCAATAACAATTAACAAAAAACAACAACAAAAAAACACTCCAACAAATCAAAGTACGAATAAACATACAATATTAAACCGCAACAATAAGTGCATACATTCGAGAAAAAATACAAACGGATTCTTCGAATTATTAAAATACAATTGCATTAATATTGTAATGGGGAAGCACAAAATAATAAAACCGACGATGACGGTGACGACGACGGCAGTGACGGCGGCGGCAGCGGCAGCAGCAGTAGCAGCAGCAGCAGCAATAACAACAACAATAATTATAATGAAACAACAACATTACCAGCATAAAACATAACATCAACAAAAGTTGAACAAACAACAACAACAAACCTTTTCTCTTTTTCTTTACAGTAAAATTCTCTTTCAGAGACTTAGCAGAACACGTTATTTTCCGAATATCTTTTGCACCAAAACAAATATATACCGGTAAATGATTTAAGTTTGGTATGCATTCAAGAATTCCAGAACTATTGCGATGTAAGTAATCAATTGTTTGAATGCTTGTTTCGGTGCCAATATATAGCAATCAACTTAATTAACATACACTTGTTTCCACGTTTATTGATTATATTACACACGTTAAAAAAATCCAGTCAAATTGTAATCATGGTAAATTGGCAGTGTTTTTTTTTCTGTATTTGTTATTAATTTTTTGCTGTTTTTTCATTTTTATTTTTTATTTAATTTACTTTTTTGCTGTTTTTGCTTCTTGTGATATATACCCCCCCTCCCCGAACCTAAAAATGAAGCAACATAATTATGTTACGATGTATTTTGAGCAGCGATACAATACAATTTACGTAAAACTTTTGAAACATTTCCAGATGAAATATCCATATATCACGTGCAACTGGACAATTAATGGTTTGTGTTACTTATGAACTAATGGCGGAAATGAATTCATATGATATACTTGTTATTCCTAGGATTTCAATGACCCCCTTCGTCTTGAATAAAATTACATGACTATGCATATCTTTATGAACATTACTATAATCAGCATGATACTGTTTCTTAATATGAAATAATAATAATGATAATAATAATAATAATAATAATAATAATAATAAATAATAATAATAATAATAATAATAATAATAATAATAATAATGATAATAATAATGATGATAATGATAATACGATGACGATAATAATAATAATAATAATAATAATAATAATAATGATGATGATGATGATGATCGATGATGATGATGATAACGATGACGACGATGATGATAATAATAATAATAATAATAATAAGAAGAAGAAGTAGTAGACGAAGACGAAGAAGAAGAAGAAGACGAAGAAGAAGAAGAAGAAGAATTATATTTATAATCACCGTTGTTGTAATCATTATTGTTGTTGTTATTTTATCATATATATACTATCTGTATTATTACTTATTATATTAATGACGTCCATATGCAATATTATAATGAATCGATGTAAAAAATATCCCTGCATAAATACTACAATAAATAAATCGATAAAATATATCAATACGAATCTACACGACCAGGCAATGATTGTTTGCAAAAATATGTATATAATTATATCTATATGAATTAAAAATACAAATGTTATATAAAAAAGAAAATTCAGAACATACATTTAATACGTACAATGAAACACAAGTCCAAAAACAACAGTAGTAAAACATTTCCACACCGACTAACAGCCAGACGTTAAATGTTTTAGCTATAACAATAATGCGTTCTTATATAATGAAGAAGTTAAATGAATTTTTTAACTGAAAAAAAATTCCATGACAACCGTGTAAGACTTAATGTTGTCATTTTGCATTATGACTTCACAGGAAATATAGGTACTTTCAAACATGGCAAGAAGACAACCTGCCGGACTATATTATATTATAATTAATGATACTAAAATGTCATATGTGTAGGATTAATATACCTTTTTCATTACCTTTATCTTAACGACAATAAATTTTAAGACGTGCATCGTATCTCTTAAACTTGGAAACAAAAGTAATGATAAGGACAAAGGGAAAATATGTCCACGAAAACTTTCAAAAAGATTGACATGCGTAATCGAAATTCATTTTATGATATTTTGACGACGTTTCCGTTTATTTGTGTGTGTCTGCTTTTTTTTAAGCTTCATGCATTTAAGCAGAACATGACGAAGCAATTAATGTTTTTGCCTTTTGTACCCGAATGCGAAATAGTCTATATGTAAATAGTGGAAACCGGTGATGGAATATGCATTTCATTTTCCCAGGAAAAACTAGCAAGAATATTGTAATGAAAAATATGAACGGTTTTAAATTTGAACAGAGGAAATAAAGGACTTTTAACCCTGTCCCCTTTTATTTTCCATCATAAATTATTATAATGAAAAAGTATGAACCGGATTTCAAAGTTTGTATACTAGTATATGTATATATAAAGAGACTTTACCACGGCCCCTATGACCTCTTTATGGCGAATAAACGTTATACGAGTATGATAAGCCACCGTATCTTACTCATAACTTGTATCAATTTTTATTATCCATAAAAAATAAATGTTATGATATAATGCAGTTTAACATACAAACATGCACAATACAAAATTTATCACCTATTATGACTAAGAGCAACTATTTATCATATTTCAAATTCCATAATTTTTAACTTCATGATAAAGACCCTGTTCATATTTTAACTATTATGTTCAAGGTTTAAACTATTATTATAAGTTAAAGATACGATCGGTAGAACGGACTACTTTCTTTTTAAAAACCAAAACAACTGATAAGATTTAAAAATCAAGTATTGTGTACGTTTCATGTTCCCGTTGTATCACCATGACATAGCTTTAACAGTGTTGCGTCCGTAAAAAAACGCCCCGCTTGTGTAAATCATTACAAAACACAATTCATTGATAAAAAATTTGATACGACTAAAGGTAATAAATCAAAGGACATTGCTGAATGATGCATTGACTATTCATCAGCTTTCATCATCGAGTGATAAATAGTTTAATGACTCTTTATTGCATAAAATAAGTCATTCCAAAGGTAGCCAGGATTATCTAAAATTGATATACAGAAATTACACGGACATTAAACATGAACGAAAGCACTTTGACACAATTTTATAGACCCTTTGACTACTGGAGAAGGAAATTATTGAAATATAGGTCACTTAAAACCACACTATTTGTGATTCATTGATAAATACCTATGTTATGTCGTTTTATTACGATAAAATTCATAAAATCTTACCGTAAGAATTATAAATCCGAACGTTTGTGGAGTGAATCACCTTTATAATCCAGATGTTACAGTAGTAGAAACCTCAAAACAAACCAGTGTATGAAATTCATTCATTTATTTCATCTATTTCACCACAGTCAACGACCAAATTACGTTGAGTTATTTTTAGAAAAGGTGTAGAGACAAGTTTAAACAAGATGTTGTGGTTTTTGTACCCAGCATTGACCCGTATTTTATTGCAGTCTATATTACTAGTGTGGGGAACCAGGTAAAACATGAATGGGAGTTTTAAACTGTTTAACTGCCTCGCGATAAAGCTAGTTGATAAATTTTTAATAAATATTTATAACGCCTGATGTAACGTGCATAATATTTTCAACAAATTTGATACTGCTGTTTACTCTACAAAGAAAGGACATTTGATTAAAAAGAATATTCATGAGTTTGGTTGAAAGAATTATTTTAATTTTGACAAATGCTATTTTTGACTTGAGTTAACATTTAAATGATAATCCATCACCTAAAGGTTAATCGTTCAACTAAATGTTAAAATGTTGTTTTCTAATGATTATTTTTCTTAAGATTATGTTTAATTGAATCAAACTGTAAAAGTCATCTGCCAAGATGCCATATTGAAGAGTTAGAACGACACTTTTTCGTATTTCTAAAGGGCACCGAGATTAAAAAAGAAAAAGGGAGTGATAAAACAAATAAAAATGTCATCTCTGTTAACAATGATTCTTTTATCTAAATATATCTTGTAAACATTATTTGTTTATTTTAGTGCTGTGCACTATTTCCGTTCCTAACAAACATCGAAAACGTTGTTGTGCTTTCCAGTTTCAAATGAACGAAGGAGGTACAATTTTAACATGTTGTGCCTTATTTCAGTTTCAAATGAACACAAAACACAATGTTCCAGTTATTTGAGTTTCAAATGAACGCAGCAGACGCAATGTTCACATTTTGTGCGCTATTTCAATTTGAGCATAGAAAACTTTATGTTCATCCTTGTGCCGATTGTGGGCTGTCTGATTTCTTATTTGTGCACAATTTCAGATTCAAAATTCACATTCAAAACATACATCCGGGTAAACTTGTCGGGTGGATTCTCGAACTCCGAACCGAACGCATCAGAGACGGACAAATGGTGATCATAGCCATAAAGTAACAATTGCTCATCTTTCATTATTGCAGCATTGGGAAACCACATATGGGTATTTACATATATATTAGTGATGTAAATATTTTAATATTAATATGAATGATGACAGGTAAATCTTTTTTTCCAAAAGTATCTTTGATCAAATAGTGCAAATTCTTTCGTGGCTATAGGTCATTAATTTTTCTTCTCTAAAAATGCAGTCAGGACACCTTGATATTAATACTTTAGGACGTGACGACATTGGTATGTTTGGAATGCAGGGATACCATTTAACTTAGGATAATCTTCATAATACATATTTGTATTTGTTAAGCAAATAATTGTGGGAATTACCGACAGGTAATCTTATTGGTGGGGGAAGTATAAATGAATATAAAGCAAATGCGTTTTAACCGTTAAAGCTAACGGTGATTTAACGGGCTGATAATGAGTTTTAACAAGATTTTAATGGGATGGGAGCTTCTTGAATTACTTGCGATATTGTCGATTTAATGCAATTATTTTAAATATTTGTCTCAATTTGTTCAATATGCATTCACATTGAATCAGCCATTCATGTAATGCAAATCTTATCGCATACAGGTTGTTTTGGTTCATTCATAAATGCATGTTAAACTTCAAAATAATTTAAGAGATAAAATAAATACTTTAACTTTGGATCATAAGTAATTTCTGTTTTTCCTTGCATCTATAATCATTTCTTTTAAAAAAATTCAGCATCATTGACGGTTTAAGCAAGAAGCTAGGTAGGCCCTACTGAAATAAAGCTATGTACATATTATGTAGGACCATACTTGATGTCCGTAAGTTAACTGTCCAGCGTGAAATACTATTTTAAATAGACACATTCATCTTTAAATCTGGGCAAAACCATTCAACATTTTTGAGAAAACTTCAAAATATGATACAACTATTAACGCACTATATAAGTAAAAGACAATAAATAAACCCAAAAGGTCCTTACAAAGGTCATCGTATTAAAAGCGTATTCTTGCTGCTTTTGTGTGTGTGCATTTTTTAAAAATAAATGCAACACTTATCAGTAATTTACTTAATTCATTAAGAACATTAAAAGCGATCGTTTCTCTAGCTGAAAGAATCAGTTGAAGAGTGATTGTTGAGGAACTATCATGCCGCCGGAGGAAATGGGGTAGAAGAAAGATTCTGAATCACACTAATCATTTACCTTGTCACGTGACAAGATCTTTCGCCGCGTGACAAAATCATTCTCACGTGACAATAATATTATCATTATCTTATCAAATATGTCCCAGTTTTTATAAATTTAAAACACTGGACAATGTGATATCGGTAAAGGTAATTTTCAAATTGTTTAGTATTTTTCCTATGTTCTTAAGTTGTTTTTTGTTACTGTTTTGACACACTGTCTTGCCTTTCCGCAAGGCATTTTCCCTACATGAGGTTAACGCTTGGCTCGTTCCATTTCTTGATCAAAGTCAATATAATTACAGAATTAATCGTCTATGCATTAATTCTAGCTATATATTTAATGATATATCATTTTATGTATTTGCTTTCAGCGAACACCATTCTTCGGTAGCAAGTAGTGTGTCTTTTTGCCGGGTAAAAGTGCACAATGAAACGATGAGTACGACACTCTTCATATATCTTGTGTTGGTAGGTATTCTGCTCGTGCATGTTTCAGCCATAGATAAGTTCCGTGCGGCGGTATACGAACACAAGGTGATATATCCCGGCAGCAGGTCAAAGGTCGTAACTAGGCAACAAGCGTTAATTGATATGCAGAAGAATCTTCAAATTTACCAGGAACAATCAATGACGGCTTCAAGTAAGGTAAAAGAGCAATTAATGTCAAATTTATTAACAGGGTCAATGTCAAATCAACCAACATTGTCAATATGAAATCAACTAACATGGTCTCTGTAAAATTAACTAAAAAGGTCAATGTCAAATTCATTTATACATTCACTTACAAAACGTAATTTGAGAAATACATGTATTTGACAATGTGAAATAGCATTTGAATATACTTGAACTTGTTGATATCATTTATGTATGATCAAGTATTTAAAATATTTTATTAATTGTGTTTTGTTAACCAACTACAATAAGTTAATCTGAAGGATAGACTTATTCAAACTAAAACAGGTAGTGCACTGATAATTGTTGAGGCACATTCTTTTGGTTTCAAGTTACACCGACATTGCAAAGGTCATACAGCGACAGTCAAGCTTTACTAGAAGAGGTGTCTCTCCGTGCATTATTTAAGACACGAGTGGGCACCTGAGTAGAACCACCGACGTTCCATAAACTAATTGGAAATCCACCTCATATTAGACGTCTCTTTGAATCCACAGCGGTGAGTGACAATTGGTTTCAAGTCAAAGGCCTTCATCACTAGTTCATGGACGCCAGTCTTTCGAGGCACATAATTGTATACATTAATCTTTTAGAATGTGGTCTCATAAAATCGAATACTTGTTACTTTTTTGAAATTTATATCTTTTTCAGGGAGCTAGAATTATTGTTTTCCCCGAGTATGGGTTATATGGTCTCAACTGGACGCGTGCAAGTATACGGCCATATCTAGAATACGTTCCTGAAGTCACTAGTACCAAATGGAACCCTTGTGACAGCCCATTGAAATATCCAGGCATAGATGTACAGAGGAACCTCAGTTGCATTGCAAAGAATGCATCAATCTATGTAGTGGCTAATATAGGTGGTCGACAACCATGTGATAAGACTGACCCTAACTGCCCGCCGGACGGGCACTATCAGTTCAGTACAAACGTGGTTTATGGGTCCAATGGTGATTTTATTGCAAGATATTTCAAGTTCAATTTGAATTCTGATGAAAATTATTTTAACAAACCAGTTAAGCCTGATTTGACAACATTTGAAACACCTTTTGGTAAATTTGGAACATTTTCCTCATCAGATATATTACATTTTGAACCCGCTGTTCATCTTATAAAATCTCTGAACATTACAAACATCGCTTATCCAACTGCATGGCAAGACAAATTACCTCTGATGGCTGCAATAGAATTCCATTCTGCGTTTGCAGAGGGTATGCAAATAAATTTACTTGCAGCTAATTTACATATTCCGCAGGAAAATTATCACGGTAGTGGTCTGTATTGGCCGACTGGTACATCTGTTAACGCATCATATTATTATAACTCTCAAAACCAATCTTCCGGTTACTTAATTGTAGAGGACATGACACCTTTTGTCATTCCGCCAAATGATAGGCCATCTTACAGACATGATAACTTACGTTTAGGTTCAGTTCAGCAGATGAAAGAATATCAAGAACAGTTACACCGGAAAGAGCGGGATAAGACTAGTAAAAGTATTGCCGACACTGTTCCTGATGAATTAGATAAAATTGATATTACAATAAATGATGACGATTACACAGCTTTATTGCTGCGAGGATCGTACGGTCAACCTACTGTATGTCAAGGAAAACTTTGCTGTTCTGCCGGATATGAAGGTTCGTTTGCAAAAGACGAACTTTATGCTATAGGAGCATTTGATGGAATGCATACAGCTGGTGATTCCTACTACCTTCAAGCGTGCGTTTTTATCAAATGTGCCACTAAGTCAAGAGATAGTTGTGGAAAACCATCCACTTCATCATCAAGTTATATGTCAAAGATGTCATTTTCTGGTAATTTTACAACAGAATATGTCTATCCCGAAGTTCTAACGGACCAGGATGGGACTCCCGGACTTGTCACATCCGCTTGGCTTTATCAGGGCTCCATAATTATAGATGTTGGTCTATATGGGGGACCTCTGTCAATATCTATGATATCTAGGGACTATTCTCGCGATCCGCGGCGTATTGTAAACGCAACAAAAAAAACCCCTAGGACATAAGACTATTCAATTATAAGAATTTCGTCATTGTCATAACCACCTCCAAGCTTCATTCAATGCTCAAATGTAATCTTTAGCAAAATAGTGATATGTAATCACATGTTTCTCTTCGTCACTGGTAACAATAACTTTACAATAGTATATTTGCAACCAGGTCTTCAGATAACTGCAAGTTTGAGTTTTTAAAATGTTTCCAAACGAGTATACATGTATTACTATACATGTATTACTAAACTTGTTGTCGTTGTTTCACCTTTCAAATTGGCACTTATCTGATCATGGCATAAATGTATATAAATGCGTTTTTCGTTAAATTATTTTGCTAGAAGACAAATTCTATTAACATATATACCGATCTTTAGAAGAAAAAGATACAATTTATCTGTACTTGTGCTAACAGATATACGTTAATTTGGGTTAACTGACAATCATATTCATCAAGATTATTTGCAAACGGTTAATGCACGCATGCATTGAGTGCAAAAATATTCAAGAGATGATTTATATTTTGATAACTTGGCGTATCTGAAACCATGCCGAGAGAGATATGATCCTGTTAAAGTGGAAACTCGCCATGCGACCTCAATAGCTCTACCAAAGCAAACCATCATAGTTACAAGAAAAGCATTGATGCAAAGCATCAAAGGGCGACGCCAAAAGAATTTGATCCAGATTTGCACCTAAATACTTAACAAAAGATGTGTACTTTATAGCAGTACCATTACATGTGACCTGGAGGCTAGGGCCAGGTTAAGTTGAAACTTAAACCAAAAAAGAATAGACTCTGTCTTGCCAAGATGCAAAGGCAATTTATAGTCAATTAAGCAATCTTATAAGACTCATGTTATAAGAAAGAATTTCTTCAGATTTAATTTATGAGACACAAGGATTCCTGAGTCATCAGCATATAATCACAGGCACGAGTATCGGACCTGGGAAGAAAAAATATGACCAGATGACCAGATTGATAAAAAAACCTGTGTTTATAAAAACCAAAATAAAAAATGTAAATAATGATCCCCTTTAAAAATATACTTTCAACTTGAAGTATATTTTTAAAGGGGGTCATTATTTACATTTTATTTTGGTTGTTGACACTTTTAAGATGAACACAGGTTTTTTTATCAATCTGGCCATATTTTTTCATCCAAGGTCTGATACTCGTGCCTGTGCATTATAATAAAAGCTTATTGCTTAGGGTTGAAGACATGTAATTGACATATATTAGACATAAAAGAGGACCTAAAATGAACATCAGGGGGACAGCATAGGTACTCAGAGCAGTAGTAGAATAAGTACCAGCCACATCAACCAGCTACTATCAGAGATAAGACTTAAACCATGTAAGAATGTCATTATATATGGCAGATGCTTGAAGTTTCATGAAGAAGAAGAAAAACAACTTCTTCATGTGCAGGATAGTGTGTTCAACTGTATCAAATGCCCTTTGTAGATCTAAAAGTATCATGCAATACTGCCTTTGTCCATTTCAAATAATGCAATCTGTTAAATTAATCAAACATGTGTCAATTGAAAAACCACTTCTAAACCCTGACTGAAACTGCCTGACCATGACTCAAACCCATGACTTTCAGAAGACCAACTGAGCTATCCGTCCTGCTACACATTTTCTCTTTAATAATGAAACAGTTCTAAACCACAACATATTTCCCCACTATATCGATTTGTGTTCGTGAATTTCTTATGTTACAGAGCATAGGAAATTGAACTCATGCTTATATGCAGTCATAGGATGAGAAAAACTTTGAGCTTGACCAGAACTCATTAACCTGTGACCAACATAAGAAGAAATTTTATGAAGGCTGATTTGTATTTTGCATCAAGGGCACCGGGCAAAAACATGAAAATGCAACAAACAAACCACTTTGTGGTAGATTGTATTTTCATGTTTTCATCTGGCGCCCAGTTACTTTTTGTACTATGTTAATTGGTTTTCATGTGGCACAAATCACCCACTATAAATTTAGTGCACAAATTTATTCAAGGGCAAGTAACAATCTACTCTATGTACAGTCTGTTGTCGCGTTGACTCAGGAGACCTGGAGGTTGAGACCGGTGTCTCTTCATTACAAATAGATAAGACAGAAGCTGTCCTTTTCAAACTATGCACATGTTAGAAAAAAATAGAATAACTATTCAGAATATGATTTTTTGAGACTTTATTAATTATATTGCTTGATCCAAGTTTAAGGACATTTTCAATCAATACATGTTTTATCATTTATAACTTTAAATGAAAGTCTCATCCCTTTAATAATAATGACATAACTGTATCTCTTTAAATGCAGAAAAATTATAAGTATCAACATATCAATATACTACTGTCTAAGATATACATGTACATGCACATAACATTAATAATTCCCAGTTTATATTAAATAAATATGAAATCCTAACATTAACATTAACATGCTTTTGATGACCTTACAACTGGTGAATTATATACAACAAAAATAGTATTATAAGTAATACCTAAGATAGACAGAAAAGAACAAATAATTTAGTAAACATAAGTTACTTCCCCTTAAAATAAAGAAAACCTGAAACCCAAAAGAACACGATAAACAGCAAAATTATGAAATGTTGCAGGTTCAATTTTATCAAGCCATGCAAATTAATGGTAAAGTATTCATAAAAAATAGATGGCCATGTGTCAGCAGTAATTGCAGAAAATCGGATAGCTTTCAACATCCGGATACTGGTACACTTTGTAAAAACAACCATTCTGCGCAACAGATAAATGTAATAAGGATAAAATCAATAGGATAATCGTTTACAACAGTTTCATTACCTATCCTTATACTCAATTGCAGGTGAACTTTCTTCTTGTAGGAAAATTTTGAAAATGTATAAATGATACGGCCTCAATCTAGACCACAACGATATTCGAAATCCGGGTTTTAGTATTGTCATTAAAACTAAGGGACAAGCTGTTAAACTTAACCCGCAATTTCGTAAAAATAATATCACAATGCACATGCTTTTTACATAAAGTTATTAAATACAAATATAACAACACATTTGTTTACTTGATTTTTACGAATCAAAATAAAACTAATTTACACAACATGAAATTAACTGCTAATAATAACAGCTCCTTCCATAGGCAAAAATAAAAAGCGTTCCATAATAGACGACGCCGCTCACCGGCGTCGCCAATAAAATCGGAAAAAAAATGGGGAGGTGTATTCATGCGCGTTAACAATTTAAGTAGAGTGGGGCTTTTGTTTGGCAATTGATACCATTCATACAGTGTGGCGAAAATAAAACCCACGCGCTTAAATTTCCAATGTTGCATTTTACATATCTGGTGACTTCAATTTCCATGCGATGATAGTGCTTGCTTTTGGAAGACTGTAAGATTACTTGTCCATTCAGTAAGTAAAATAGTATCATCATCAATGAATATGCAACTTACATGAACGCCAAGATTTACTGCATTCGATACTTATTCTCTATAGATTCAATACAATATATTTGTACTTTTAATGTAAATATTCTATTTCTAGCAAACGCTATACGTTTAATTAATCACATGGAATAGGGGTAAACATTAATAAAGAGATCTACACAATAGTGATATATTTATTGACCTTCGTTAAGGTTCCAATCATTTTCGGCATTTTTTGTTAATTAAAAATGTCTTATTGCACCACCTTCGAAGCTTTGGGCGTCCAACCGAACATACCCGGAATAGTTTTGCTAAAGGCATTTTGTTTTGGATTTTGAGATACCAATTAATCTTTTAATTATAACATTTAAACAATGAAAATCAGATATCATCTCAATAAAACAAATCTGTCATTGAAAATCACATGCCTGTAATTACTGATATAAGATCTTTGTCCACATTCCTTGAGGTTCTCAATGCAGAGAGACTTTAAATATAAAAAAACCTACCACAAGAACAAATACCCAAGCATTCTTGTTTCAAGTGTACATCTTTGATTTCGCGTGCAGAGAGAACATTTTCGGTAGCATGAATGGAATGCGACAAAATAAACAACCATTAAATATTTGGAGAGCAAAATGTCAAAATCACCGCCGTTATCTTTGTCTGTCATTTCAATAATATAGCAATAACCGACTGGTTCTATTTGTGTCACACCGACAATCAATTTGTTATAGGAATGTCATATCAAGGTTAATCTAGTAACATGTATTTTAAATCAAACTTTGGAAATTAAACTTTGTCTGTGTATATCTGTCGTTCAAACCTCACATTTTGGAAACCCATTAAGGAATCAGTGTATGCTTTAAATAAGTTGATTACATGTTTACCCAGCTTATCTGAATGCGATATATACTACTAGTAACTTATGTGAGTGATAATGAAATCAGTGACGAATGAGAAAGATACAAGTGAGCTGCTGCGTATTAAAGAAACGGAAGCATCCACAGAAGTAGCTGAATCTGATGGTGAAATTGTTGTGGAGTTTAAATTTACTGGTCTATTTTTTCTCTCTTCCAACAGGATCTTTCAAATAGTATAATAATACATTTAATTTAATGATTTATGAACGTTTTGAGGCAGTGCCAATTAAAGGTCCATTATGACTCAGATATGCTTTTTTTATTTCGTTGGCCTTTTACTTGAACCATCTTCGGCTTCTGTTGCTTTTTGGTAATTAGTACAGTAATAGTGATTAAGTATTTTATATGGAAGTCAAAACAAAGTACTACTTTGTTCACATTTTGCTACTTTTGTGACTAACAATTTCACATGAAGGTCTACTTTCTTCCAGTAATAAGCATCTAACATACTCTTTAACCGTTATTAAAACATTACATGTATAATATTTATGTGTGCCCTGTCCAAAGAATTAAAGAAGGAAACAGAAGTACTGGAGGTTAATTAAACTACAAAACCGAAAAATCTTATTTGTATTGTATGTGTATATGTATTGTATCATAGAGCCGTACTGTCAAGAATCTAAAATATTTATATATATAATTTCCAGTCACGATAAATGTCCAATAAATAAACAATCTTACATTTAGGATGGCCATAAATTTATGACTTCCATGTTTGAATAAATTTATTATACCATAGATACACTGCTCTATTAGAAATGTTAAAGACTGTTAGTTGACCTGTTTTAGGGACTTTCAAACCTTTTAAAACATCAATGAATTGTCTATGATTGTCTTTTAATGTAAGCAATTTAAATTTTAACAGAAAAAGAAAGAATTATTTAGCAGCTGAAAGATAATAGAAGCTGTCTTGTCATCATCGGCCCGACAAACACGTGCAAAACGTTCAGAAGAGCGGGGGACAACTTATTTGTACTTGCTCTCTTTTTAGCTTTCAGAAGCTTTGTAAAGCTTACAACGAACTAAGCCATTGTAATTACCCTGTAAGCAGTCTTTTATATCTCCAACTATTCTGGCAGTTTGTAAATTAATTAGAAACCCCCTATTAGTGAATCGGAAGAACAAACTTTTATTCCAGACAATTGCATCAGAGTTTATGTAATGTTAATTATATTCAAAGACCATGCGACTGAGTCATATTTTTCGAATATAAAAACAAAGGATACCTTTTTTCTTTGAATTGTAAACAACAGATAGTTAACAGTTAATAGATAAATGTCAAACAGTGACTTTGCAGCTTTACTGGTGGAGGAAGACCGCAGGTGCCCCTTCGCGCAACGAGCAGGCACCGAAGCTAGTCGTATAACTGATAAATGCAAGAATCAAACGTCAATGACTTAATAAGCTTACTAGTATAATTATGTCTGACCATTTACTGTATTTCATGGCTTTTTGATAACTTTTAAGTTGGATTATGTGTATGCACAGATATCTAGACTTCAAACATTTCTGTTCAGCAATTGTCTTAGTCTATATAAAGATATAATCTTAACAAAATGTATTATGTCTATTGCGTATACCTTAAAAATGAAACACTAATGCTCAAAGTTTTGTACTGACAGGTGACTTCAGCCTCTTTGATCATAAAATGATCAGCTTGGGTGTGTGGAAAAGTCTATGTCACTCAGTTCAGTTTATAGTAATGTCTTAAATTCCATGCATACAGCCGTTTACAATCGGACTTACAGACAGTCTATATCCCTGAAAATATTTTAATCCATTTAACACCCAGTGCTTTTAATATAAGGTCAATCATAGGGTATAATAATAGAATGAAATAGCAAAAAAGAAAAAGAATCATGCAAAGATATAATGCACTTATTTGATAGGAAGCTTACCACTGAATAAAATTTTGAAAATGAAAAGTTTGTCGGTTCAGAAAGCGACTCAGAAGATGATATTGAAGATGGTACAACAGTCTAAAGAGCAAAACATCATCTATAGTTACATGTTATAACAATCAATTCATTTAATCATTACCTTGATGAAAAGCCGGCAGTTTTAAAGTCATTAATTTTGGGGACTCAATGTCGTGATGATAAGATAATGTATAACGGTATATAGACTACAATGAAATACGGAAAGGCATTTATGAGGCATTTCATCATGGCCGTGGTTCAAAGTAATACACAGTTTCAAAAGCAATAAGATCCACTGACCAAATGTTTGACATTTTCTACGATATATATTGTAGTTAATAATTAAAGAAAATGACCGCTGTTTGAAGCAATTTTAATTGTGTTATCATTTACTGATAACTGGTTGGTATTTAGTTATGAAACCACCAACCATGTATCATCTTGTACTTGATTTATTTCCAGGGATATATCAGTCAGTCATAAATCTCTGTGTTCTGTCTTCATGATTTCAAGAAGTTGACAATTTATCAATCAAAGTATTATTTTTTCTTCTTTTTCTTTTATTCCAATATAGTATTGGTAATATCGGAAGTGACATCGACTTTATAAGCAATTACCAGTATCATTTAATTGTTCAATTCCATCAATTTGCATGCATTCACTTACGACATTTTTGTAGCTACAGGTGTTACGGATATATATTAATTTCATCGTATAAATACGTAACATAATTAGATAAAAGAAAGTCGTTAGAACTAAAATCTAATACTTTCAAAGATTAAACGTTACTTTAATAGGTATTAACTTAAAAGGCGGTATATTAATTCTTTTGGGAATTTCATTCCTGATTCTAATACAAAGCGGGAAAAGATCAGTAAAGACTAACTCATAAGACCTTTAGTGTCTTGAAATAAAGTGCTAAAAGAATGTGTCCCCGATTAATCCATTATTTCTAATAATAGACCAAAGCCGTGGATACCCTCCTGGTTCTTTTCATGCTCTTCATGAGGTATTTAACAGTGACTATATCAATATAAATACATCTTATACAGTGATTAATAGACATTAAACCTGTTGAATATATTAAATTGACTTTTCAACCTTCCACTTTTTTGTAACTGTCTCTTGCCATTGCTGGGGATGGGATATCAAGATGAAAAGTTAAAAACGGTCCGCAAACAGTATGGAGCCTTGCCTGACTCCACGGAAGAGCAGAATGGCCTGGCTCTATAATGAAAACAAAGGCTTTTTACTTTCGGTTTTCAGCAATTTAATGCTTAACCTTTTCAAATAAAAAATCCTCGTGTTGGTAATCAACTTCCGTCTTCTTACACAATCACCTTAGTCACTACATCGTAAACAAATTAACAAGTGTTGAAAAAAGAAATCAAAAAACGATTTTTCAATACACAGAATGAAAATATATTAAAAATGTTTTGAAATGGCCTTAAAATATTGACTTTAACAATGATATTGCAAGCATGACTTTGCATCTTTGATTTAGAATGTCATCGATTTCAATTATACTTGGAAATATCTTTAAAAGACATCGAATCTGTATACAAGATACAAAGAGCCTAGAAATATATGGAATCATATCGATTGAAAATATTTAATGATCATGCCATAATGTATGCTATAAACGTATGTAATGACGAGGAACTATTATGTTCATGTCATATTATATAATAAAATCTGTTCTGTTCTGATAATAAACAAACTATAACATATAAATCTACTTTGAAGTTTGAAATATTGATACGAAAACGGTGATGATTATCTATTATCTTTTTTTCAATTTATTTGTATATTTTGTATCAATTATTAATTATTATGCATATACAGTCCACTCTCGTAATTTTCTTGATTTCTTATATGAACTTGCCCATCTTGCCTTTCTTGGTGACTGTCCCCTTATGAATTATAAACGGATGCAATTATTGCACTGGCAACGGCTTGTTACTTGGTGAGGTTTAAAGACCTATCTGTAATAAGCTTTAGTGAGTCCTATCTCCAGGTAAATGGAAAATACGGTTCTTTCATAACCATTGTTGTTATTAACACTGAACCCTACTTACGTAAATATATATTATCTAAGCATATATGAGTCATATAATGAAATTCGTTGGATTTTACCTAATCTATCTAGTCGAATGCGGATCTTTCTAAATATCACCATTTTCATGTCGAAATGTTGAATTCTGTTAAAGTTGGCGCTAGGGGTGTATGTGTGTGTATGTGTGTGTGTGTGGGGGGACGGGGGTTGGCGCGTGGACGGTAGCTAGCAATTGCCACTATCGTTTATGAAAGGGCTCAATCAAACCGAGTCTGCAACATTTTCAAGTTTGGCGTTTTAGGCGTCCTTTGGGATTTTCTCTATTGAATTTATTGCATGCCAGTTCGGCTGTCTATCCATCCATTTATTAGTATATCATTGTCTAAACTCTCCTTCAAGAAACCTCTGTTTGTTTGAAGGGAGCGTTGCGATGGACATATTACTAATATGCCTGCTTCTCAATTAAGGGATCATGTGTTGGTTGTCCTGGTTGGTTCAAGGAAGCATAGTGATTGAAATAATATGAAATTATTACTTTTCACAATTAAACTTTAATATAAATGTCAGTGTCTATGAGTTGATGCTGTCACCATTGTCATCGCCTATACAAAAATTTCTGTGCCAGTTTTCGAATGGTAATAAATATGATATGTAAGCATGACTTTGTTAAATTAATTCAATTTCATTTTAATACTTAACTGTAATATTTTGACAAGGAGTCTCTATTTGCTACCTAAAATACACCGTAAGGAAAACATTCAACTAAAGCCCAATGAATAGAAAGTAATATGATTTTAAATAAGATAGATTATATATGCAAACAATTGAAAATAAACCAGACTATCTTAAAAAGAGAAGAAATTCCTATCGTAAATACTTAGCTTTGGAGATAATAAACACTTCTTTACCCAATTTAGCAGGTACGGAAATATATTGTCGGGTTTATGATGCGTTTAGTTACATTCAGGTAGACTGTGTTGAACAAATGTGGGAGGGATTTACTGTATAAGGAATGTCATTTGATCGATACGTCAATCATTTGAGAAGTGGGCATATACTTCTAACATTTATGGTATATAACCATTTAAACTTTATACTGTAGTTAATAATATCGTTTGATGTTTGACGGTTAAGAAGGATATATTTCTGTAGTTCTAGAAGTTGTAAAGTGATAACCGCAAAGATATAACAATAAATAAAAAAAGAAAACTTAAATCATTTGAAGGATATTAAGAAAGTTTAAGAAAGGAAAGAAGAAAACAAAAATGTTGCTGAGCTCTGTAGCACTTGTGGCGAAGCCGAAGAATGCGAAAAGTAAGGACAGCGACAAGAAAGCAGAGGTGCTGACCAACTATCTTCAGGGTGATTCTGATACATGTGTAGACTGTCAAAATGAGGTAAGGGTCTATTTTATATTGAATCTTAAACAGGCTCTTTAGTTTTTTAAACATAACAAACGATTAACAATTTAGAATTATTTTTTCAAAGAATTGTAAAATTATAACTCTAGAAATATGTTGAATGAGAAGTTAGGAACAAATAGTGATTAATGGTAAAACATTTGTACATCTAAGTGTATAAAAGCTATAAAGTTACATAGATACATCTGAAGTCTGGTATGGTGTTACTTGTCAATTCACATCAATCCCTAGCGAATCCCACACAATATTTTAAAATGCTGCTTGATCCTGTTACCACGATTAATAATTAAATAACATAAGTACCTCTAAAAAGAAACTAATTTCTTAAACATAGCGAAATTATATACAATTAAAGAAAGGGATTGTTGTTTTGTTCGACTCTATAGTTGGAAAGAAATAACTGTCGGGAAGTATATGTTTGAGCTTGAAGTTGATAATTTACTGATATTGGAAAAAGGAAAACAACTGCGCATCTGATAATATGCAAATAATTGAAAATTGATAAAAGATGAATTCCTTATATTATATTGTATAACAAGAAAAACAAGATGAGATTGAGAAGGTAAAACAAGATGAGATTGAGAAGGTAATAAGCATCTTCGCTATAAATTGTGTCAACAACTTTGATTAACCGTGTTGTATAATTTACTTTACAGATAGAGGAAGAAATGCGTGTGTTTCAATTTCCATCGGTTGTTCCGAAGACATCAGAAATAGACCAGCAAGATAAATTTGCCAACTACCCGGGGGACCGTGTCACCATAGTAACTGGAGATGCAATGTGCCTATCGGTGGAGAAGTTTTACTACACAATCGTTCTGCAAGAGGAGAAAAAAACAGATATGACTTGTAAGTGATATTTTACGCTTTTTTGATATTTTTATTTATCTTTTAATTACAATAACCTTTATAAATTTCATCGGTTAAAGTAAATTACACCCATGCTTAACAAATGAAGGCATATTTTTACGTTATATATTGACCAAATCCTATATTAAACTGTTATTTCTTGAATCGTTTCAGGCGTTTTCCGAAAGAAGGTCTTGGAATCAAAGGAGGTTCAAAATGGTCGAATTGAGACGGTTGTATTTGCATTGGACTGCGACCAAGAATTCTACATCACATCTTCAACATATGGCGATTTAGAACTTAACGTGAGTGTCTTTACCTTTGACTTGTCACTGTTTAAACTTAACTAATCATTGTTCATTAGTCAGTGAATATGTTAACTAGATAATTTTATTTCATGAATACAGTCAATATATTTTATCTGTAGAATTAGACTATTTCCATTTTAATGCTTTTATATACTTTTACCAATAAAACTTTTAAGCATATTAGTTGCATCATTACAACAATGTCTTGTTTTATTTTTTTAGTATCATCCCTCGAACCCGAGACTTGATGAGCCTGATGAACGATTCTTTGACGTGTTTTACACGCAGATCGGGCATGCTATGATTCAGCCAAAGCTCTGTCGCAATATGTACCTCCATCACCTGGACAACTCACTCAGTACTCAGCTGCTAGATCTGAACTGGAGGTGTCCTGAAGAGTACTTCTTTCACTTCAGCGCAGTGCCTGAAAGTGTGTCAAAATCAGTTAACGAGAAGAAAAGGGTATGCACACACAAGAAAACATTGAAAAAGTGTGTGTCAGTTCCAGTAAAGAAAGCGGCAGATGATTCAAGCGAGTGTACAAAGGACAATACTAATCAGTGCAGTATGTCATACACACAAAAACTAAGTACCTATGGTCCAGGCATGGACATTCATTTTTTAAAGGATACGATCAATAAATACGCCATTGACTTGCCGACAAGGAAGCCAACTAAAAGTAAAAGAGGACTTTCTACGTTGTTTCTCGGGTGCTTTAGTGCTAAAAGTCACAAATTAGTTGCATGAGAAACGTTGTTACCATGTTATTTAGTGCTGAAAGACACAGCAAAGTTTCATGACATTACTCTCAGGTGCATTAGTGCTAGAAGGCATAGAATATTTGCCTAATATTCATTGTAAATAAAGGGAGGTGCAATAACAAAAATCAAACATTCCGTCCAGTGGTACATATGAAGATACTTTTTTCTATTTATTCCTTCTATTGTATTAGTGAAATAAATAGATTTGATCTTAAAATACAATTGAAATAGAATGTGACATTCTTTATGCTGTAAATAATTTTACACATGATTTGATTATTTGTAAATAAGATACATTGAAAGAATTGTGTACATGTTTCAAACATAAAGCCCATGTATGAATTTTGTCTTATTTAAGTGCAATATAATTTATTTTCATTCTCTTATTCTCATAACATTGTTAAGGATGACCGTTCATAAGTTATTTTTCTATAGCAATCCATGTGTTCTAGTCTAGATTACTTAAAGAAAGGAAAATGTTAAATTGAAGACAAGAAATACATATGTTTATAAGAAGAGTATGTGGTCAACAAAGTCGATATGGACACAGAAAACAAAAACTTAGTTTTGAGTACTATAGATAAGTCAATCCGAATAAAGGTACGGATCAGATTCGGTTCTGTCTATTTCACAATCATTATGATAGTCCACTTAGTTTCATTGTATTGATTCTAGTCAATTGTAATTAACAGTATAACCTTTACAGAGCGACACCCTTTGAGAGATAAATATTTTGATTGCTTTTGACAGGTATTGACCAAGAGAGGTTAAATTTATGAATTGTGAATGTTTATAATGGGAAGAAATATTCCTGTTTGTTGTCAAGAGGAAATTGCTCTGAAAACGGCCGCTATGCAGAGGTTATACTGTATTTATTGTATTTATTATTGTAATGATGTATTGTTATGCGAGATAAAATAAAACATAAAATAATTTAGAACTGATTTGAGTTGTATATTTACATATTTTTTTTTTCATTTATGTCAAAGCCACTTTTTGGGGTATATACACATAGTGCTTTTAGTGACGCCGGATAACTTCTTGAGTTTCCTAACTCACATTTTCGTACTAACGTGGATCGAGGAAGCCGGGTGATAATCTAATCTCTAATGGGATGCAAACCTTAGACATCCGGATTAAGAGTCCGGTGCTACACCTCTACATCACTTTGCCTCTAAAGATTTAAATCATTTTCAGGTTTTCACTGTTTTGTCTGGATTTGGATAACATTATGTGTACTAGATTTTGCTAGCCATTAGAATTGAGCCTGGTCAGACTATTTGAATGTGTAGGTTGGCTCGGTTGCATTGTGGAAGGTACACTGTCCGTGGTACAGAAAGAACAACATTTAATGACCAGCTAGATTAAATAAGGCCCATACGTATATGGTCGTACATATCAAGTGCAATGCTGATAGATATATTTCTGTTTATGTTAAGAATTTAATGACAAAACGATTAACCTGGGTTAGAATATGACCAGGCCATTTAGTCATTATAATTGTTTATAACTGAAAACAGGAAAATAATGGACGTTTTAATCTTATTGTTTCGTTCAAAGGTATGACATCAGTAAAAAATTCTTTACTGTGATTCACCTGTCTTTGTTACAAAGAAGTATTTGAGTACTCACGTGTGCATACTAGGATAATAAGAATCTTTTTACACTTTTTAACCCTTTATCCCATATACTACTGAAACCAAAAATAATTAGCTACTCTGTATATAATGGACTGTTCTAAATTTAAAACTGGGCAAATCCATAACAAAAAATCAGCAGGTTAAAGGTCAAATACCGTACGGAGTGTAAAAACGCATTAGATTTCTTGTCAGATACCGGATTAGAGCGTCTTAAATGACAAACCATTAATTCTGGAGATTCAAAATCATAATAATTTATATGAATATCTCCTACAATGAAATGACACCATATGAAATACAAGTTATGTTACAAATCAAGACGTAAGTTTTTATTAAAGGCACAGTAAGCCTCAGAAATAAATCAAGTTTTCCTTCAGTAGAAAGGGCAAACATACGTTTTATATTATGTTGTACGAATTGATTTAGAATATGTAAGATGCTTATCACTAGAAGATAATAGCGTCGAATATAAAAAATTAAAACGAAAATAGAAAAAATAAGAATGATAGCATATTTTAGGCTTCATGGGCCTGTAAGCTACTGTTTTTGATTTTTTCTTTTAGATAAATTATGTTGATTTTAGTGTTTTACGGAATTTCTTTTTACCACATTCAATCTAGAATTAACCTTTCTAATTCCCATTTAGATCTTAAGACAATTGATGATGCAAATTATTAGATTTCAAACTCGCAATAAGTAAATATGCATTAATCTTAATATGTGTGTCTTTAAAAAACAACAACATTTTTGAAGTTTTTTTTTGTCAGCTAGAATGTCTTAAGCATAATAAACACACAGTTTTCATTAAATAAATAGCTAAAATTTAAATTAATAGATGTCACTCACGTTATATAATTGCTATACACCAGATTTAATTTTAAATACAAACAAATGACTGTAAAACTAAGATGAAAGTCATTAAAGGGACTTGGTTCTGTGAATTAATGTATTGTAGTAGCTTGGCAACATGATAAACATGTAAAGCATAACTCGAACAAAACATGGAATTACAAATATGGACACATTTGTCTCCCTTTTTGAAATTGATGATTCGACGCGAAGTAAAAATGGTGATAAAGTAGAATTTCGACCGTATATCTTTTCAAAAATCGAATGAAAGATAATAGTTAATAGTTTTCTATTGTAACAATTATGGTTTTCCCTCAGAAATATCTGCATAGAATATTAATTGTGTAACAAAACAATAGAATGAAGAGAATGGAAGCATATTTTAAAGTTTTTTCTTAAAAAATCTTTTCTTCTGGAAGTCAATGTTTAATAATTATGCCATTATAATTCACATTAACCCAAATTCTGCAGAAAACGGAAGTGACTATCCTTTATATTGTCAGGCCAGCCTTGAATTTGGCACAGTCTTATTAGACTCATGTATTTTTATATTAAACTCCCTGAAATATTGAATGGACTGTTCCAAACTCAATGCTGGGGTAACCTACAGGTAAAGGGTTTTAGGTCGAAATAGCAAAACCACGATGGTGAAAAGTGGAAATACAATGATGAAAAGTCGAAATAACGAAAAAAAAAAAACAAAACGAAACAGCGATGGTTAAAGGCGGAAAGTAGGATGGTGAAAAACACGAAATTATATCGAGTTTTCACCATCGTGGATCGTTATTTCGACTTTAGACCATCGTACTTTCGACTTTTCATCACGTACCATTGTCCTTGCACCAACGTAATTTCGTGTTTTGCTGTTTCGAGTTATGTATGTGTCGCTATGGCCATAGTTATCCCGGAATAATTAAGGAGCGGTGAACAGAAAAATAAAATAATGTGTGAATATCTTATAAGTTCAAAGATGAGTTTTGTCACGTACGCGTTGTTCTGTCAAGTACCAATCTTACCTTATGGGCTATCATGCGTCCAAAGAATGCATGTTACGAAATTGTACTGAACTATCTCATTACTTACTCAGCATTTAAAAAAAATATGGGATAGGTGGATGTACCACAAGGCATACCAACGTAGCTGATGAACTGTACACAAGAAACCCCACGGTAAATCTACAAAACTTATCAGAAAAAACTCTGTGGCATCTAAAGAGATATAAACCAAAAGTCCAAGAGTTTTATACGTTTGCAATTTTTAAATAAAAACAAAATTGTGAAGACGAAAAACATGGTTACATAGGTTAATAAAAACATGGTTACATATGTTAATAAAAACATGGTTACATAGGATAATAAAAACATGGTTACATAGGTTAATAAAAACATGGTTACATATGTTAATAAAAACATGGTTACATAGGTTAACAAGAAAAGCATTGATGCAAAGCATCAAAGGGCGTCCAAGCAAGAAATGCAGCAAGTGAAGATGAACTAGTACACTATGATGACAAGATATTCTTATAAACTACCAGAAATGTATACCATTTATGAATGAGCGGACGAAAGACATTGTTCATTATGAACTTTGATTGGCATGCTAGAGATTAGAATATTACTTGTTATTTCTTTATGATCGTGGTTATTAATAGCAATGGATATACATGTATGCAATCATTTATAATCCATATGTGTAACGCATGATCAACACGTACACACATTTGTCCCTTATTATGTTATCGCTATTAGCGAAGACCCCCTTAAGGTATCTGTTCACACTTTAAGTTAGTAAAAATATGACAATGGTTATATTACCATGTTGATAATGTTGAGCATAATTGTTTATCATACAATAATTGTAATATCTATTAATTTTAATTAAAAAAAATACAAATTTTATGAATATTGTTTTCTTTTATTCTTTTTTGTGTTTTATGTGCTATTTTTAATACTGAGTTTTTACTACTCTTTTTATTAAAATTGTAAAATAAATTTTAAGAATTCAATTGTCATATTGACCGACGATTATAAGTCAAAGCTTAACTGGAAAAAGTCAGTAAATTATTAATTATGGTTTATCTTTCAATATATAATATTGTATATTCTTAAACCATGTACATGTACATTGTATTTTTCTTTATCATTTTTTAAATTATCGATCAATTGAATAATTCATAAAATCTAATTTGTAACTTTGAATAATTCCTCGGCATCTTTACTAAACACGGATAACAAATTAAATAATTAAATAAAATGTTTCAAAGTTGATAATGTCATTTTAATACCATAAAAAATGTACCTTTTTCTCAATTATTGTACATATCACGGATTTATGTTACATATAAATCCGTGTACATATTTATTGTGTTTATCTCATATAGATAAAATGAAACATGCTATTGTTGTTTTTTTTCTTATTGTAACGATATCAAACATCTACTCCAAAACCGGATGAGACCGGACAATAAACGTGTGGTACTATTCGCCGGTCACTAGTAAATCCTGGTCAAAATAGACCGGGAGAGACCGGCATTTACCGATAGGAGTGATAAATAGATATATCTATAAATAGGTTTTTGGAATATTTAGGTCATCAACTGATCATTCTAGGATACATGTACAACAATAACATACCATGATAACCGACTGTGTATTACAAAATGATAAATAAAAAATCCCGAAGAGCGCAATTTATTGACGGAAAAGGTTATTTCATTTGAAAATGTTTGCATTGCGAAAATTCATTGTAACATATCGCGACATTTCATTCTTATTTAATAATCAAGCACCCTCATACCGATCGGAATTATCGGCTTTTATTATGACCGACTAAAAGGCTCGAGAAGTTGCTGTCGCCCTTTCACAAAATCTGATCTCATTCCATAAGAGCGCCGCGCTTCGGCGCGGACGCCAATAAAAACATGGTTACATAAGATAATAAAAACATGGTTACATAGGATAATAAAAACATGGTTACATAGGATTATAAAAACATGGTTACATAGGTTAATAAAAACATGGTTACATAGGATGATAATAAAAACATGGTTACATAGGATAATAAAAACATGGTTACATAGGATAATAAAAACATGGTTACATAGGTTAATAAAAACATGGTTACATAGGATAATAAAAACATGGTTACATAGGTTAATAAAAACATGGTTACATAGGTAATAAAAACATGGTTACATAGGATAATAAAAACATGGTTACATAGGATAATAAAAACATGGTTACATAGGATAATAAAAACATAGTTACATATGATAATAATAACATGGTTACATAGGATAATAAAAACATGGTTACATAGGATAATAAAAACATGGTTACATAGGTTAATAAAAACATGGTTACATAGGATAATAAAAACATGGTTACATAGGTTAATTAAAACATGGTTACATAGGATAATAAAAACATGGTTACATAGGATAATAAAAACA